TCTGGTGCATTCCTGTAGTTGGACATTTCAGTGGCATCTGGCCACCTACAGGCCAGGATGGCAGATAGGGCTCTTTATGTCGTGGCCTCTTTCACTCCTTGTCTCTCATTTAGTCTCCAGAAATGCAAAATTTCTTGGAGTTCCTAGCCACCCCCTCTCCTGGCAGCGCACCTCATGCTGTTTCATGCCTCTCTGCCTTAGGCACTTCCTCTTCTTTCTGCCTAGAACATCCCTCCGCCTGGTTAATGCAACTTTAGAAGAGCTAGGAGACTTGGAAAACATATACTAATATTAAAACATTTGCTATAAATTGCTACCAGTAAGAACCTTAGACTTGCATTTAATGATCAGTGATTTTGAGGGGAGGGGGTTGGGGAGAGAAAGAGAATGTTTAATTTTTTTTTTTTTTTGCGGTACGTGGGCCTCTCTCTGTTGTGGCCTCTCCCGTTGCGGAGCACAGGCTCTGGACGCGCAGGCTCAGCGGCCATGGCTCACGGGCCCAGCCTCTCCGCGGCATGTGGGATCTTCCCGGACCGGGGCACGAACCCACGTCCCCTGTGCCACCAGGGAAGCCCCGAGAATGTTTAATTTTTGTAGTAGTCTGTAAGAACGCTTTATAGTCTAGTAGACTGTTGTTTTTATCTCTTGCCTTTGCTTCTTCTGAATGGAAGAGAGAGCAAGAAGTAAGAAGCATTGGTCCATCAGATAACAAACTGCCCAAATATATTGCCATGTGAACTAACCCGCCACCACACACACACTAGGTATTCTTTTGTTGTTGTTGCTTTTTGTTTGTTTGTTTGTGTTCGCTGTGTTGGGTCTTCACTGCTGCGCGTGGGCTTTCCCCGCTGCGTTGCGGTGAGCGGGGGCTACTCTTCATTGCGGTATGCAGGCTCCTCATTGCGGTGGCTTCTCTTGCTGTGGAGCATGGGCTCTAGGCACATGGGCTTCAGTAGCTGCAGCACACGGGCTCAGTAGTTGTGACACACGGGTTCTAGAGCGCAGACTCAGTTGTGGCGCACGGGCTTAGTTGCTCCATGGCATGTGGGATCCTCCTGGACCAGGGACCAAACCCGTGTCCCCTTAATTGGCTGGTGGATTCTTAACCACTGCGCCACCAGGGAAGTCCCACACTAGGTATCCTTAATGGCACATTTTTACTTTGTGAAACTTCATGGCCCTTGCTCTATTCATTCTCTATCCTCTCCTTTCACATACCGAATCAGTATTAGTTATGTACTAAATGGTGTCTGCTCTTAAAGCCAGGAGAACAGAGGTGAAAAAAAATCAATTGGACATGCACATTTCTGTGTGCTTGTTAATGGTGCAAAGCTTCTCCTTACCACCCTCAGCCTCCAAATACAAGCTATTATACAATTTTTTGAGCTAAGAACATTTCAGAGTTCAGATAGAGTAATGGTGATGGATAAAGAAAAGCTAGTGGATTTAGTAGCCTTTTTCTTCTTGGAAGGGGATGGGGATGAGAAAAAACTGAATCACCTGGATTAGGTAAGTCAAATGTCCTCCTACAATAATAAAAAATAGACAATATGTCCTATGTATGGTAACCTGTATAGAGCTCCAAGTAGCCTGACTCCATTAAAGAAGCAAAGGGCACTTATACATGGCTTTGAGATCTGCATTCCAGTCTGTTCCCTGTGACACTCATTCCCTCACTCTCTTCATCTTCACTCTTTTGGTCTGTGCCTTGTCATAGACTAAATGACAGAGAGAAATTACATGAAGTCTTTGAGAGATGAAAAGTTAGAAAATATTACAGAACTCTGATTAACCTTCTCAGTATCTTAGTAAAGTGATGTTTGTTAACATTTAAAAAATGTATGTCTCTCTTCTCAGCTTTTCAAGTAGCTCTAAACTTCACAGTAGAAAGTAAAGCAGAACAAAAGCTATGCTTCTTTAGA